TTCCTTCTCTACTGTTGCCAGAAACCAAAAAACATCAACCAGACATAGTCTGTATATCTTGGGGGGTTTATATCTATACACACACAGTGTACAGTTAACACAGTATGAGGTAACAAATAGGAAACAGTGTTTCAATTCCCTGTGGTTTCTATTCTGGACGTGGATCTGCTGAGAACGCGGCTTGTGTCAGGCAGCTCAGCCTGCACTGTGCACCGCCTCACACAGCAGAACCCTGGTCCACAGCTTCAGACTCTAACTGCGTTAAGATTTGTTGTCTTTTCATTTAAGCTGCCAAGTTAAACCTTTAGTACACTTTCAGCACGTTCTGCATTCCTAGATAACCCTGCACGCACAACGTGTATTGTCTTTATGAGAGCGTCTTCAGACAACTGCACTCCCAGCAAGAAACCTACAAACTTTTAAAGTTTGGGGCAGGCAGAGTCAGTGGCCAAAGCACTTCGCCTCCACACTACGGGGTAAGGAGTGACACCTGCGAACAGCTGGGCACCTGAAACTACTGGGCGCCAGGAAAGTCCGACTTCGCAAGTGAAGATGTGGCAGCTACGGCGAGACACCCACCCCGCACCACCGGAGCCACCCCGAGCGCTGGGCTAGCACGGCCACCGCCAGCCGAGCGAGCGCAGGGCCCGCAGGGACACCCCGCGGCCGGGCGCCGGACTCACCGCTCTCCTTGCCGGCCGCGGCGCTGCCCTGGCGGCGGTGCGGGCTCAGGAAGTCGCGGGCCAACTCCAGGTCCTGGAAGTGGGCGAAGGGGACGAGGGCGCAGGACATGCTCCCGGTGACGGTGGCGCCGCCGCCACCCAACCCGGAAACGCTCGGGCACTTCCCTCAGGCCCGGCGCGGCCCCGCACGGCGCATGCGCCGCTCCCGCGCCGCGGATGGGAGGGCGGGGCGGGGCCTGGCCCGAGGGGCGGGGCTGGGGGCGGGAGCTCTGTACGCACCTCCCTCCCGGACAGCCCGCTCCAATGTTTAATCGCACTTTCTGTGAGGAAATTCCTCTCCATGTCCAACCTAAGCCTTCCCTAGTGCAGCTTGAGGCCATTTACTCTTGTCCTGTCGCTGGCTGCATGGGGAAAGAGGCCATTGCCCACCTTCCCACAGGTTCCTCTCACGTAGCTGTAGAGAGTTATGAGGTCACCCCTGAACCTCCTTTTTTCCAGGCTAAACAACCCCAACTCCCTCAGCTGGATTTCACCATCCAGGCCTAATGATGAACCAGCACGACCCAAAACCCACGTGTGAAGCGCGGAAGAACTCTCTATAACCCACAAAATAAGTTATAAGAGCGGGTATGTATCTATTTAGCGCTGAGGTGCATGGGGGATAGCTCCTCCAAAAACATGCACAACTTTGGCTATTTGCTCCTCTCCTTTTATTCTCTACAAACTAGGACTACACAATACGCCTAATACATATTCATTGCTCCATATTGAAATTAGTTTCACGCCTCTTTGCGGCTGCGTATTGCTCCTTTTAGGTTGATCTGGTGGTCGTCTGGGAGTCTTTGGGATGAAGTAAACAGTCTTCTTCTCAGTTTGAAATTTGCATCTTTCCTCCTTGGGCGTGCTCTCTTTTTAGTCTTTTGGTCATTTTCCGGACTTTGACACCAGTTTTCCTGGTCTCAGGGGTCTGAGGACCCCCTTATCCTGTGGTGTCTTTGTCCTTGCATCCTGTTTGAGCATTCTAGCCCTTGACCCCACCTTGTAGCCTTGCTCTCCTCCTGTTCTTGTAACGCTGTAAATTACAGCAAACAATACGGCTTTGTCTGTTCCCCCTTTTAGTCAAAGCATTTCTTGATGCTTGGTTCTTAATTCTCAATTTCTCTATTTCACATATCACTTTGATGAATAGAAAACACCTTTTATGGTTAGTAAGAAAAGGGTTTCTTTCAGTCTTGATTGCTCTTGCAAATGCAAAGCTTTTATTTGGATTTAATGTCAACCCATTTCTATTCCTCCTCTGGACACTGCGGCATCTGTGTGACAGCAGCAATGATGATGACTGAGATTTGCTGTGGCGTGACGTTGGTACAATGCTGACAGCTGACCTGCAGCCTCCAAAACCTCCTCTTCGGGTAAGGAAAAAAAAAAATGTGTGGGAAGAACACCAAGGGATGTTTTCTGGGCCCCAAGGAAACACAAATCACCCTGTGCACAAGACTTGTCAAATTTTTTAATGGCTCTTACTTGACTAGCCTTTATATGTACACATACAAAAACATATATATATATGTATATAAGAATTTTGTTTCTTGTTTTCTCAAAGGGCTTTTTTATGTGATTGATAGCAATATGTCTTATGTAGCTAAAAGCTGAAATAACTGAGAAAGTCCAAGTTATTCTGCAAGTTTGGTTTGTGGTCTAGATCTTCTACATGGTCTTTAAATACCTTCAAAGATTAAACTAATTTTTACAAAGAGAAGTTTCATGCCAAAGTGGGCTCCAATTGTGTTGTCCTAAAGGCACAGACTGTAACAGGTTATAAACTCCAGAAAATCTCTTGTGAGATATGCAAAGAAACTGGCTTTATTTTAATGTCTTCTGGTGTCCTATTTTGTTGTAGTGATGTTCTGGTTTAAAATCCAGCGGGAAAGTCAATCCCACTGAACTGCACCTGCTTCTCCACACCCTTCCAACAAGCGACGAAACACTTGGAGAGACCACAAGCAGGAATCACAATTTTACTGAAAAATTTGTAATAAACACAGTACCAATAAAAGAGAGCACAAAAGAGGCATTATCTATAAGAGGGTATTCAGCATGGAACAAACAAAACACTTCCTGAAGAGAGGGAGCCTGGCATTGTTCCTTTTTGCTAGCTTTAATATGATTGCTTTGATACAGTGCACTATACTACCCTATACTATACGCTACTAGTAGTTTTAACTTTTATACTGGTTAAGAACTTTCATCTAATAATATGTCCTAATGAATAATTCATTCGATATAAATTTACCTGAGGTAGCAGCAATGGGACTCTACAGTGGCCACAGTGGCTTTATCTGAGTGCTGAGACCCACACAGTCCCAGCCCCTTCCACGAGCCCGGCAAAAAGATGAGGAGCTTTCTGCTTCTAAGATTCCAGATTTCCTGCTGAAAATACAGCCCCACAATGAGGTAGGTAGTATTGAATTAAAGACTGCTAGAAACTCCATCTGTCTTTTCCTCTGTACTTCTGTACAAGTAATCAGGGCTCAGTAATTTTGCCCTTGGTGACTACAGGAACATTTTGTGTTTACGTTTCAAATCTGTGGCTCCTCAGGCAATACACAGGCTTGAATTTAAGCAGATGAATAATCCTGTGGCTATTCAATACAGAGTTGTTCAATCCTGTTTTTCCAAACAGGTGTAGAATTAGATGATATGGGCCAATAAGAAGGATACTCTTAGAAAACAAGGTCACAGTGTGGGAAAAGTTGAGACAAGAGGCTGGTTAATTCTCAGATGCTCTAATTAAACTTGGAAAGCTTGTGAAGAAAACTATTTAATGACATTTGAGAATTGTAGCGTGCACAGTCACTAGTAATGTCAGCTGAAATAATAAGGAGTATACAAGAAATTAAATTAACAACATGGTTTGTCATTCTATAGTGAAGCTTTCATCACATTATGGAAATTTTCCTCATTAGAGAATAGTGAACAGCATAAGACTGTAATATCCCTGCCTAGTTTGCTGTACATGAAGAAGTCAAGAGCTACCAAGACACCAATGAAAGCATAAAATAAGGCAATGAATAATTGGCAAAAAATCTGGTATTTCAAGACAGTCTTGAGTACAGATAAACTCATATTAACACTTTGGCTACAGAATAAACCTTTGTGAGTTTGTTAAAACTTCAATAGTTACTAATTTTTAATGATTCATTATACATATATGGATGGCTACAGAAAAAAAAACTACTTTGAAAAATATCTGGCATAATTTTGAACGAAGTTCCTAAAGACATTCAGATATACACTTAATAGCCAAATTTAACAATACATTTCTAGTAAGAGTAATAATTTACATTCACATACATCCTGCTGAACAAAGGTATTAATGCAGTTTACAAAAATAATTAGGCTACATACCGATTTCCATTTTATGAAATACAGGTAATTATTTGTTTGAGTCAACACAAGAAATGACAAGAGCGAAAGGCTTCAAAATGAGAGAGAGTGGGTTCAGATTAGATATTAGGAAGAAATTATTGACCGTGAAGTTGCTGAGCACCGACATGGCTTGCCTAGAGCAGCTGTGGTGGCCCCATCCCTCAAAGTGCTTGAGAACAAGTTTCTGAGCCAGGCTCTGAGCAACGGGATCTACTGCAAGCTCTCCCTCTCTCCCAATGACAAGGGGGTCAGACCTAGAGGATCTCCATGGTCGCTTCCACCCCAAACCATTCCACTGATTCACTGTTCCCCCTCCCCCAGTGGGCCCCAGTTGC